ACAGACAAACAGAATGAAACTTTTCCGGTCAGTGGAGTAATGGGCTTCGCTAATCGCTCAGCCAACAAGATGTGTACATCGTTATTGTGTTTCTTTCTCCAGTTTACCTAAAAACAACTAAGATAACCGTGTCCCCGAATCTAGACCTCAGCGTGACGGAGTTGACAATAGGTGTAGATTTATCAGGTAAAGGGGTTATGTAGAACAAAACTCATGAAAATAACATGAAATTCGATCAATTTGAGGAACAAACTGGCCCAGATGGAGAGTTTGCGTCATCTCATGTTCTTCTCAACACACAAAATATGTTCAGTTTCGGAGCGTATGTTTTTGTGGGCAACCTCTTCTATCAAATATTTTTTCAATACGTAGCCGTATACAGGACGTGTTTAGGCTACCAATGATGTAAAATCATCTATTCTATCTAAAGAACATCCGTGTTACCGATTTCCTGCCCTCTTTTGTGTTATTAAAGTGATTTATCTGGTGTACGGTGTGACGGAGTTGACGTCAACTCCGTCACGCTCGTCGAAAGTTTTATGAAATTGCACATTAAAACGTTATTTTGGTCCAGATAATTAAAGGAAGTAGTATTGCTACCTTTTTATACACTCTCTCTCTATTTTCCTACTAAGACATTGCCTATACATCGTATAATGTGTGAACGAGAGTGCCGTCCTCTAACCTCAAAACCGGAGTCACCCTGACCAGGTTACAAACCAAAGTAGCAATACATATAAAAATTAAATTCGTTACCGATGGTTTCTATTGCTTCCTGTTCCATAGCGCCACGTCTTTTCAGTTGGCCGATGACCCAAAAGTGATATTTTAGGAAATATTTTTGGAGCTTTCCCGGCCAACCTAACCTCTCGAGCACTACGTATTTTTAAAACTTCTAAAACAATACTTTCATCGAGTAGTTTTCGCGGAGGCTTTTCCGGTCGTTCGGCAAGTGTGCCCCTGACACTTTAAAGCAGAAAAATGGAAATTATACACGAAAAAATTGTAAATTTTTTGAAAGGCTAATTTTGCACTCCACCGTGTAATCACCCAGCTCTTGTCCGGAATTCGGCAAAGTCCGCATGGACTCGGACATTAGGAACGTACTGGAGTTCGCATTTTGACCATTTAAACTGCTCTAGTCACCCACTGTTGCAGTATTCTAAGGTTTTTAGTGTTACACCAGGTAATGTTAGTGCTTTCGAGTATCTAGGTGGTATAAAACGAGGGGGAAATCACTTGGGTTTGTAGCATACGAGGTATTTCGTGGTATTTTTCCCGAGGGGTGGACGACTGGATGGCTCCCTGTGTACAGGCCAAAATGTACTCCAGGTGTTCTCCGACTGTACTCCGTCTACTCCGGCTGTTTTTGTCGCAAGTTCTCCGCGTACTCCGACTGTACTCCGGGTGTACTCCGGGTGTAAGCTCCGACAGGCAATCTTCAGTGTTCTCCGACTGTACTCCGTGTACTCCATACTCCTGTGTACACGAAAAATTCAAGTCGCCCACCCCTCGATTTCTCCTGCCATTTCGGCTATTTCTCGCCTATTTCGGATTATTTCTGGGTATTTCGCGGTATTTCGGAGTATTTCGGGGGTATTTCGCGACTATTTCACCGACTATTTCGCGTCTATTTCGGGTCTATTTCGCTCTATTTCACCTTTATTTCGCCTTTATTTCGGTTTATTTCGGGGGAAGGTGTACGAACTATTTCGCAAGTGATTTCCCGCTCGGTATAAAACCCTTTTGAAACCATATCACATAGTTGTGAAGGGTCGCGGAATCTAAACGGCCCGTATTCTGAGAATCACCCACCCACGACACTCCCGCCGCACTCGCTCTGCACCCACCGCGCACCCACATCGCTCCCAGGACGCACGCACCCACGCCGCACTCGTGGCGCTCCCGTATCGCGACCGCCTCGCACGCGCCGTGCACCCATTCCTTTTTAGCAGATGATACATCATACACAACTGAAATTGATGAGGCCCCCCCCCCCCCTTCCACCAGACATCCAATCTAATCTGCTCCCCACCACGTGTGGTGTCGCTTGTGGCGTGGCGGCTGCCCTCAGTCTTCATTTAGCCTTCAGCGCCCACCGAAGCGGAGAGGTCGAGTTGGCTCGGCGCTTAACCAACGTTGCCTTTTTCGGCTGTACACGTGCTCCGAGGTTTGTGTACATGGTAGCTGCGCAAGCGCACAACACGCTCTGCGTTGAACGCCACCGGTCCTAGTTCGTGCGGCGCTGTGATTTCTCGAGTACGGGCCAACAGAGAAGGGCCATTTCTGATGCTTAAGCTAGGCACTCTCCTGCCAACGGGAAAACTAACGTGATATGTGTCTGAGGGGTCCCCTATTCTTCATGTGGATGTACAATGGGTTACGCAAATACCCGCGAGTATTCGAGAGTTTTCGGGGGTTTCGCGAGTTGTTGAGCATTGAGCATTTCCGAGTTTGACACTAGAAGGACCGGGATTTTCGTATATCATTTTGACCCCTCTACAGTTTTTGGCCGTTTTTAAGGCTGCAAGGCTGCAGTTTTATGGCACATGCTTAAGAATTTGTGTGTTTCAAGGTACCTGATGCCATGAGTTGACATTGAGTAGGTTCAAAGTATGTTTGGGTAGGCAGGCAACCCGCACGGCATAAAACCATCTTTTTGCTATTTTTCCATCTGTTTATGCGAACTGTTTGCAATATTTTAGAGGTTTTTGAACTTCAAAATTAATATTCTACTTAGTACACATTTCGACGCGTCCTAAGAACAAAGTCTGATCTGTTTGCGCGCCCGTCAACAAAGTCCGATCTGTTTGCGCGCCCGTCAACAAAGTCCGATCTTTTCGCGCGCCCGTCAACAAAGTCCGATCTCTTCGCGCGCCCGTCAACAAAGTCCGATCTGTTTTTGGCCGCGCTCTGCATCGCTGGTTTAGTCGGGTTTAGTTAATTTGTATCTTAACTACTATTGACAATATACAAACAGTAATGACTGCTATGTGATCCTAAGAGATTGAAGAATAGCTGAGACCGAAAATGTTAAGCAAAGATACAGAAACAGAATTCTCACAAAGCTCCAAACGTTCGCCTACCGAGCGCGGCCAAAAACAGATCGGACTTTGTTGAGCGTCACACAAACAGATCGGACTTTGTTGACGGGCGCGCGAAAAGATCGGGCTTTGTTGACGGGCGCGCAAACAGATCAGACTTTGTTCTTAGGACGCGTCGATTTGTAAGTGTGCGATTTTCAGAAAACTTAAGTACTCTAAAAGCGGGAGTGTAATCCACGCAAAAACAGTTTATTTTTTACCAGACAAAAAAGTGCGTGGCAGTTTTGGAATTCGCAAAACCATCTGTACTTTGTGCTACGCGCCCCTCGTTGCGCTCAGAGAACGATTCCGGTGACGCAACTACCACTAAAGCCTTGGATGTGATGTGATCCAGAAACGGGGTTTTGTGACGTACGTGTTGCCTACCTTCGCCGAATTAAGGAGTTTAAAAGTGTCACATGACCGACCAAAAGTCATTAGCTACCCTAAATGACATATACGGTCAGCCTTATTAATGAAAAGTCAGTCCTCGTCAGGCTACACCTATAAAATCTCGCGAAGGGGTCAAAATGACCCCTCGGTCCTTCTAGGTATAAGTAGTAATATCTTCGAAAGTTCTTCTCGCAGAGACGTCATATTTTGCGTACAAGCGTCTTTCGGTAGTACATGAAAAGTCGGAAGTGATAAATCGGCGAAAAAAAAATTCATAGTTCCTCTGGCAATAAAAAATCAGAAGGGGTCATTTTGACCCCTCCGGTCCTTCTAGTGTTAATGCGATTGTAAGGCGAGTATTTGCGAATATTTAGCGAGTATTTAGCGATCTTTGGCGAAATCGCCCTCTGGCGACCTAACGGTTAGAGATAGAGCCAAGCGGACAAAATTTTGGCCCGTAGATTTAACCCGGAGGGTTCTACTTTGACGAGTTACTTCTTAGAAAGATGTTCAAAAAATAAAAAAAAAATTTTTTTGATTTATTTGACAGGCCAATTTTTAAGCTAGAGGGCTCAAAATCAATACACTACTTGCTTTTTATGATACAAAGCTACACTAAAAAAAATTAGGTACCTAGCTCAAACCGTTCTCGAGTTATCGTGATTACAGACAAACACAGACAGACAGAAAGACACGAAACTTTTTGATCATCACTGGCTTCGCTTTCGCTCAGCCAAAAATAACCAGAAACAACATTTCAAACTAGGGGCTAAACTCTGTGGCATTTGATAGAAGTGACGTAAGTCTAACTTACGTCACTATCTGAGTTAGACATTGTACATAATACTTTTATAATACCTGTAATATAGAGTACGGGGTACACGACTCAGGCGAGTCCCCCACCCCTCGATCTGCCCCCTTAAATAGGGTATTTCGGGTAAGCGAAGCAGCGGAAACGGAACGACCGAGCAGCAGCTGGATTCATAACAGCCTGCAAGCTGCGCATGCGCAGTAGACTCTGCGCCGCGCTGCCGCCTCCCCCTCTCCCCGGCGCATCAGAGGCTGAGATGGAACCAGCGGTGGACTGGGCAGTTCTGTTTCCACCGCTCCGCTTATCCGAAATACTCTATTCTAGCCATATGTACGCCAGACCAGGTCTCGCGTAGTCACAGCGTCACAGGCTTGGCGCCTATTACTCTTTATAATACGAAGACTTCTCTTCGTAAGAAACTAAGAGTGTAGAGCATATGTAAAAAACCGAAGGGCCTTTTTGCCTGTTCAGTGGGGCTGTCTCTTTTTCGTGTTTCAGCTATGTGATGATAATAGATCCTTCACAGATTCGTCTCACATATTCCAAATGGTACCTGCTATCCTCTAGGTAATGTAAGGCAGGGGTAATATAAATTAGGTAGAGTAGAAGGGATGTTTTCGAAGTCCTGCCTGTCTGTCCACACGACATCTCAAGAACGGATTGGGCTAGCGACTAGAGATTTTTAGGGTCACTTTTACCATGAAAAGATGTACCGAGTGAACGATGAGCTTTCTACCTCATAGGGTGTTCTTAAACGGAAGTGAAAAAGAACAAACTCACTGATTTATCTGTTTCCATCCGTTCTGTACCATGGTAGTTGGGTCCGGCCCTAACCTCTCAAATATGGAGGGAAGCTCGAAACTGATCTGACAGTTTCTCATCCCTAAAAGTACGGAAAGGCACGTAGTGAGCTCGTCCAATTTGTGCCGTTACGGAAATAGAAAATTCAGTGAGTTTGTTCTTTTTCTACTTTCATTTAGGATTGCCTGGAACACCTTATTGAAAAGGCCATTCCGATCAGCGCGTTAAGAAGAACACAAGAAGCACAATAAAGCCGAGGATGGGGATAGCAAGCAGAGTTGTGCGCGCGAGCCAGGTGCCTTCGGCAACCATTGGGTCCCTTCGCATTTGCCCCTGACTACCCCAGACTTCATGTTACACACTGCCCCAGGATACACAGCCTGTTATGTGGCCTCGCAGGCCGAGACCCATCGAGGAAGTGTTAGTGACAACGCTTATTCAGAGTCTCGTTCAACCGTTGACCCCCCCCCCC